GAGTTGTGGTGAAGGAATTAAAACTAGGTCACGTGCCTGCCTCAGTGTGTGTGATGAGCCACATAAGTACGAGACTGTGCACTGTAATACCAACTGCTGTCCATTTGCAGGTAAGCTAAAATTGATATATGTTGTTTAAAGCGGGAGGGTCGTCACCAGCGCACGCGCGGGAATTGAGTCCCAGCGACGATAACAACACACGCTAAAAACGCAAAGGCTCGTGGGTAGACGCTTGTTTGTAAACTATGACACGCTATGGCTATCTGACGCATGCGCAGGTATCGACCCTCCCGCTTTAAGCTGCTATATAATGTATTATGGACAGGGATTTGTGTGTTCGATCGTATGATATGCCTTTGTTGTTAATTTCAGATTGGACTCCCTGGGGCCAATGGTCGCGATGTAGTGCTACGTGCGGGGATCACTCCACCAGACGCAGAAACCGTACATGTGGGTCTTTCTGTGGGGGTGTCTGTATTGGTGAACGCAGTGACGTCGCCAGGTGTTCAGCGGTACCACCATGTTCTCTAGGAGGTGATAATCAAACAATAGTTAGAATTCCAACGCCCCTCGTTAATTTCAAAAAGTTCCAGCAGTAAACATTTATGATTGTGTTTTAAAATATGAATAGTGTCATTCACGACACTGTATAAGTAAGGAATAGTGAACACTTTCAAATAAACTTCCTTGACGACACTTTTTAGGTTTCAACTGATCTCAATTTTCGAGGTTGTAGCTACAATAGAAACAGTTGTATGAGTATTGATTTAACGTTAAATGTTTGTTTTTTATTCTCTACAATTATCGAAGAACGTGTCATTTATGAATATACTGCATACTAATGTACCAAATAAAATTATACGCGTATCTTGAAATCTTTTATGTGACTTTTATGAAGGGTGTGCAGTTTGGGACACCTGGTCACCGTGCACTGTCAGCTGTGGGGGAGGCACAAGGAAAAGACATGGCATCGGATGTCCTGAGAAACAGGAAGAGAGTTGTAACAACCAGTGTTGTCCAGAAGCAGGTATTCCTAATAATTAAGTGAATTATTATAATACGCGTTTTATTTATGTAAAATCAGCATAGCACTAAAAATACGACATTGTCGAAAAAGAGTATGATGATTGGTACGGTCATAATTGTCACGTGACCTGAATCGATAAAACCGTGCATAATCACGTGATACGTGACGTAATTACCATTATCAGCCATATATAATTATGAAGCAATACAAACCACCTTATCGTATTCTGAGTGGCGATCGACATTTAATGTCATACTACTTTATGCTAACATATCGCATAATAATTTGTATTAGTTAGTTATTTTGTCTTGATTATATTCATGAAACATTCTTTTATTTCTGTTGATGTAATTTTCTTTGTTGGTTGCTTATCGATTGTTCTGATGTTTATCATCAAAAATTACATTATTTATCATCAAAAATTACATATGTTTATCATCAAAAATCAATAAAAAAATACACATATTTATCTTCAATTACATAAAAATTATTAATTCTGTAAAAAATATTTTCCTGAAATAAGGGTGGTCCGAATGGGAATCCTGGTCTCTGTGTAGTACAACGTGTCCCGGAAATGGAGAAACACAAAGACAACGTAGCTGTGATTCAGGATGTGGTGGCGTGTGTCCAGGAAATGCAACAGAGGTCCAGGCATGTTCAGGGAGTCAAACATGCCCAGGTATAATGAATAATACTGGTTTCTTGGGCTTTAACAATTGGGATTATTTGGATTCTGGGCTGGGTGAAGAAAAGTTTGCCCCTTATTAGTCTCATGTCTCTGAAGCCTAACTGTAAGATTGATTTGTAGGACGAACGTTCTGGACATGAACTGTTTTAGAATTGTAATGTCTCTGCCCCCCCCCGTGAGATATAGCTACTCTCAATGCACCATAATGCAAAGAAAGATGGTTCAGTTAAATTTACGAACCCCGTGACTTACAAGTGGCACTCTCCAACTTACTGATACGCCATCAAACCGCGTAAGTAGAGAGCTAAATCATACTGTTTTACTGCCTAATAAAAGTGCACGCATACCAGAACACGACGTAACAGTGGGCCACATGTCACTTGACAATTTCATTGTACATCGTGATCACGGGATTGTTGACAAGTAGGCTAAAAAGAACACTCACAAATACTAAGACGTAGTTTAGTAGTTACTATAAATGACATATATGTCCCTAGCCCTGCGTACAGTGCTGTGTGTACGGGGACGCGTTCGGTTGATAGATGTCCCTACCACAGCCCTGCGTACCTCCATAGACAAAGTCCGAGACTTTAAAAAATATAATTTTTTTAATGAAATAACATGCCCAGGTACCAAACATGATGATCGATCACCAGATATATCCAGAACTCCCAGTTCGGAGTCCAATTGTGGATGAAATCAGCTACTTTGCCCTAAAAACAAACACATTCTCTTGCGTGAATGAAATTAAAAATGGCGGCGTTTGGTGGATAATTCTTCAGGTACCAACGCGTTTACATTTTGTCCGTCTTTACTAGTCGCTTTTTAAAGACAGTTCAGTTTCAGATAACTTTGTAATGGTTGTTACGGATAACTATCGTCATTTCAACCGATTTCGGCTGGGAAACTACTTATTTTTAACTTGCGCACCAATTACGGTGCGCTCCCGGACTTTGTCTATGGAGGTACGCAGGGCTGTGGTGGGGACATCTATCAACCGAACGCGTCACCGTACACACAGCACTGTACGCAGGGCTATATATAATCTTACTAGACTCCATTATATGGAGTCTGTGATGTGGTCTGTAACATGTGTCAGTGAATTGACCTGACAATGAGTTGAGAAAGAGAAACAATAAACTTCACCATGTCTCTCTCTATGAAGGACAATCGTCTCAATTTTCCCACACATTAGCACTTCAATCCCCTTAGTGGTGGCATGAATAGTTCTGGAGCAAACAAAAAACTCCCTGGGGATAGATGTCTTTGTTTTCCATATTATTTTTAGTTTAAAGTGGAATGAATAATTTGTGGCTTAATTATTCATACTATAGTTGCTGCAATGGCTATTGAATTGCTTGTACCTTGTGCATCCTGCTGAAAAGTCAAATACATGTATACCATTCTTATTTTATTCATCAAATGTTTCTTAGCTGTCCTGTTTGCAACAATCATGATATATATGTATAAATGTACAGCAATCACTCCTGTTAATAATATTCCAGTCACTCTTCATTTGTTGGCACCCCTCTATTTATTTTGGACACCCTTCTGCTGGAAGATGTTGTAACAATGAGCCATTCCAGTTTATATCTGCACCCCCCCCCCCCCCCCCTGTTGATGAGTTTGTGTGTTTACTTCATACAGGGTATAATTTCCATGGGTGTATAAGTCATACAAAGTTTTATTTCCAAATCACCATTCACCATACAGTAATGGAAATCCAAAACTATAGTTCCTACTTATGGTGTTGATGAGTTCCATTGTGCCACCATACAGAGTACGATTTTCAAATATAACTCATCATATGCTAATATACCAAGTTCAAAATTGTATATTTGATAATGGAAATCCAAACTAGTCCTGGCTCATTCATGCCACCATCCTTATCTAATTTCAGTAATAAAAAAAAAAAAAAATAACTATTTCATACTGGCCCAATTTTTTTACCATATACAGTCAGAATTCCAAGTTTTTTTAGTCATACTGTTGGAAATCCAACCTCATTAACCAGTATGTGGCGAGATAAACTAGGCCATATTTTATTTAGTAGCCATAACTGCCTGGATTTCCAGGAATTTTTTTTCCATACTCGTCTGGATTCACAGATTCTGTTTCTTCATATACAGTTGGAATTCCAGGGTATTTTCCCCATCATACAGTGCTGGAAATCCGACCACATCAACAGGGGGGTGCAGATATAAACTGGAATGGCCCAATGTTGTTGAGACACCTCAAGAAAATAACAAGTGATAAACAGTGAACTAAGTGTCAGACAGGTCCCGGATATTTAACAGGACAACTTTCACTTAGAAAACCAAACTGTCTGAATGAACAAACAAAATAAAATAATGGTTCACACGTAAAATGATTGACACCTGCAACATGCAAGTTTTATGTTGTGTTGGTGCATGCCAGTTGGAACAAATTCTATCAATCATCATTTTATTCCTAAATTTTCTCAGCTTCTTAAAGTATTTGCCAGAATACAAGGACTGGCAACAATTTATGGCAATTACTTCATAGTTCTACTGTAAAATGACTGGGTTTAAATTTCGTTGATTTACCATTCCAGGCATATTCAATGGGTTTTAAATTCACGGTTTTATCATTTAGATAATGTGTTCTATGCCAAATTTCACATATCCACTGGGTTTTAATTTAGCGCATTTTCCAGTCAGAAAAATAAGTAAAATTAAAATCCAGTGAATAATTAACCTCTTTACAGTATTAAAAAAAATCAATGTCAACAAAAATCATGAATGACATTGTGCATTAATTTGCTTTGTGTTACCTTTGTCAACACTTGTTTCTCTCATATGGTAACTTTTTACACAGTCCCTATCACATAACTCAAACAAGAAGCTGCATGTGCTTCGTTATTTGGCAGTATTTTCTTACTTCAAAGTTGATTAAAGGGGGGCAGGCAAAGAGGACATTTGTCATCTACTACACAGCTTGTTTTATACAAGTTTTTTGGCCAGAATTCATTCATAGATCCCAAATTTCATGTACGGAGTGCGAAAAGCCAGACCTCTGCTCCCCTTTAGGTATGTTTTATTCAAATAATACCATGTGACTCACAAACACAATGCAATGCTGAATTACAGACACAATATCATGTCGACGTAGACACAATTTCATGTCAACTTGTGCAGTGCCATATTGACTTACAAACACAATGCCATATATGCAGATCCTGACAATGAAACAACTAATAATTCATTTCGATACAGTATGTTATTGTGTACATTGTACATAGTAAATTCTGTTTTGTCCTTTCAGGTGACAGGAAAAAGAATCAAATCAAGGAAGATTCAGCAACTTTGCAGGCTACAGAGAGGAAGATATCATCTAAGCAAAGTTCTGTAAGCAAACCTAGTGTGAAACCAAGTACAGTTGAACAACCACAGCTTAAGCATAAAAACAAAGATCATATACAAAAACATCAGACTTCTGTCGAAAGGGTTAAAATACCAGACAAAAAGGATGGAAAGATTAGAACATTGGACAAGTCGCGAGGTGGAGTGACAAAAACATCAGAGAAAATCAAAGAGAAATTACGAGAAGAAAAGAGAACTGATGTTAAGACCATCCCAAAATCATTTTCTGCTAAAAAGACTGGTCCTAACCCCTCGCCTATGGATTTCTCTGAATTAATGAAACTTGCTGAAAAACGGCAACATGAGCCTCCTTCATCAAGGAAAGATGTAGTATGTGAGAGTAAGCCATCTACGAGTAATGGAAGAATAAGTTCAAAGAATCACAGAAGTAGAACAGATGCAAAGCCATCTACTAGTAATGGCAAGATCACCACAAAGGATAAACAAAGTACAAGGCACTCTGCGAGTAATGGCAAAATTCTCCCAAAAGATAAGCAAAGTACAAGGGTTTCCATGAGTAATGGCAAGAGTATACCAAATAGTACCAATGATGGAAGAGATGTCGCTCAAAAGAAAATGACAAGTAATGATATTAATCGGATAAAAGGAAAAGAAACTATTAGAAAAACAACAAGTAAAGTAACTGATCGGACTATAGATAAAACAAGCCATCACAGTGGAAACCAGAAAGTATCTAAGGAACAGAAAAGTGTATCAGATAAACAAAAATTGTCTTCTCGTGTGCCTCAAAATCATACAAAACCAGGACCGAGTCGTGTATCAGAACAACCATTCAATTCCCGGTCCAAGGATAAATTTGTATCACCACCTCCACCACATCCTTTAAGACCCCCCATGCCTTTGAAGAGACCAGGTGTGTTGTCATTTCTGTTTCTGTCGTTAAATATACATGATGCTTTTAGAAGGCATTTTTAAAATGTAGTTATAACTGAGGGCATAAATATGTCTATTGCCTGTATATACTGAGAGTCTGGAGATGCATGTAGTATACAATGTATCAATGCAGCTTTTGTTTTGAGGACAGCACTTTCTAATTTCACATGCTTTTTTGAAATGAGAATGAGATTTCAATCATTCAACACAACAAAAACTCTGGGCTTTTTTGCATTGCTTTGTACAGGCATTCCCCAGCTACTACATAGATGGAATGTTTATATAACCTCTTTGGTGCATGAACATGAAAAACATTTCTATAATCAGTTCAGACGAGAAACTCGTGCTATTTTGTCATAGTTGTACAAGTAGTTTAGAATGTGCAAATTAATGTCACCATTAATAATTCCTGTCCTGTGAATTGTTCAATAAATAATTCATGTTTTGTGTTAATATTTTCTTATTTGCAAATATAACCAAGTTATAATTTCTGGCTTACTATTAATAAGTGAAACTCAAACTTGGCAAAAATGCAATGCATATATAGAAATTTACAGAAATGCAATAACTGTCACTGATAACTGATAACTGATAATGAATGCATACTATAAATGGTTTTGTGAATACAAGTGTACAATCTCCACATTAGTATAAATGTAGTAATTTATGCCAAAATCAATTTAAAGTTTACATAAATCTGTGGGTTTAACAATGTGTCCATAATTCTGTATGCTCAGATAATATATAACATTCATGATGTAATTTATTACAGCAATGCCTCCACCTTCTCGCAAAGTGAAAAAAAGACGAAGACTTGACAGCGACAGTGACTATGAAGATGATGGCTTTATTGATGATTCGCCCATGGACAATGACCCTTGCGATGTTTCAAGTTTTATTAAGCAGATCTTTGGATATGATAAAAACAAGTGAGTATCAGGGAAATGTTTTTAACATTTTGAATACTTGCAAATCTCGATAAACCAAAGTTGGTATACTACAAGATTTTGCACAATCACAAACATATACACACAGGCATGAGCGTGTGTATATATGTAGGAAGTGGTTTTTGCAAAATCAAGCCATTATATTATACCAACTTCATTTAAATGTAATTTTGAGACATGGAAATAAATTTAAAGCATCAAAAACTTGTACGAATGTGATATAGCTCCTGAAACAATCTCCTTGGAACCATGGTAAAAACTAGCATACAGCAGTGGTACAAAGTTTCCTGTTAGCGGCAATGTTGATATATGTAAAATTGTCTCAATTGACATTATTTCAAAGTGTATGTTATTTCTTCTCTAGGTATGGATATGAAAGTGATTATTCATTGCGAAATATGGATGCAAGTTTCTCACAGATTCAGAAGGAAGAGGCCAGAAGGTACATTGTTCATTGTTACTTAGTCTGTTATCATTTTCCTTGTCATTAACTACCTTTCTTGTGAGTGTGTTAATGTGTGACTATTACAAGGACAGGCCGGTAGGCTGGTTGGCGATCCACTCCGCTCAAAAACAAGCACCATGTTTTTGGCTGTTTCCATGGTGTGACATAAACGTGAAGCTAACGTCGGTTTATAACTAATACGAAGTTCGCAAACACCATTCAGTTTTTGGAAGTCACTTAGTTTATTACTAGGACCACAATCACTCTCCTAGTCGAGTGACTGTGCTAGGACGTATTCTGCTGTTACATTTATTATTTCCAACCGTTTTGCGATAGCATTTTCTAGAATGAAACGTTTCCTGTAAATGCTGGAAAGCTAAATAATGAAATAACGAGATGGTAAATATTTACCTAGAGTACAGTATGTTGACCTTCATAATAATATACTTCATAATGCAAAACATTAGTCACGGTGAGTTATTTAAATATACGACTCCTAATCGAAAAATATGACCACAGTCCAGAATTTCAGACGGATATTAAGAAACCTAAGAGCATATCAAAAGCATTACTCTAAAATATAAAAAA